CCCAGCATTCTCGATCCACTCATCTCCAATCGCAACTAGAATCCACAAATCGGGAGTTATTTGATTCAGAGAGGGAAATCCAGAGGTTGAGGAAACCAATTGCGGGTATCTATGTGGGGAATTCGAATAGGTATCTGGAGGTTGATAGAAGAAGGGCAATAGGTGTTCGCGTTAGGGTTAGAGAGGAAGAGAAATGAGGAGAACTATGAGTATCAGGTTTGTATGGTGAGTGGCTATCGATTCAACGGTGGGGTTGGGACATGGTGGCTACAAACATGGAAAGTGACTCACTTAGTTCTAACACAACCTGCTCCTGGATGAGAATGTTGAAGTCTTAGGGTAGAGAGGGAAAAATTTGGTAAGGAAGGAAACAAAATTGTTGAAATTTTTAGGATTGGAGAGGGAAAATTTGGTAAGGAGGGAACCACAAAATGTTGAAATTTTAATAAAGACAAGAAAAACGTGATTATAAAGTACTTTTACTTACATGCTTTGTTTTCTTTTAATTATTCACCAAAAAATTATTTACAGTCACATGTTTTATCAATAACTTAAACCGTGATTAAGTTTTAGTCACATTAAATTTAAATTCATGTGACCTCATATGTTTTTACGTCTCGGTTGATAACCATCACAACAAAAAACTGGATATCAAACAAAAAACAGATACAATTGATGATATTTTATGACGACTTTTAATTAGCATGTGACTAAAACATTTCTAGAATTTGATTAATGACCTTTAGTGACACAAATAACCAAAACCGTGGCAACCCTTTTTTTTAAAACCATTGCAATAGGTCCTTTTTGTACTGGACATTGAGAAATGCCATTTTACGCATCTTTTAGGGTAGTTTTTATGAACATTTTGCATCATATTTTACACATTTGCATGTGCATTAGTTTAAATAATGTTGAACTCATGTTTATCGTCAAAATTCCCGTACTACTCATCTATTTATGTCATTTTCAGATATTTCGAGTGAAGCGATACTTTGGAAGCAGCTTCGATGCGTATTTTGAGCTTAATGGAGCTAAAATACACGAGGAACCTGGAATATGGGTCACATTTGCAGAATCTGAAGAGTTTGCGTCCGAAACAAGTATTTTTGAGTTTACACGATCGTGCTTTTCACCATGAGATCGTGCACTTGATCATGTTTCATCTTCGTAACTTTTCCAAGCTAAAAATTGAGTTTCAGGACCTCGAAGCACAAACACTATCGTGCTTTTCCATGAAACATGGTCGTGTTTTTTGAGTTCTATGTCTGATAAAGCAATGTGCTTTATTAAAAGAAGAAATCGGGACTTCGGAGAAAAAAACACTATCAAAATGATCGTGTTTTTCCAGAAACATAATCGTGTTTTTCATATTTTCGCGTTTTTTGTTGTTGACTCGTATATAAATACCTCCTATCATAACAATTTAAACCCTAGAAGTTCCCAGACGATGAAAAAACCTACTTCATATGATTTTTGAGGCGATTTATGCACATATTCGTTAATTTAAGAAGATATGAAGGCTATGAATCATCTCATACATTTAGATTAGTAAGATTTAGTTATTTAATTTCTCTTTTTACTATTCTAGATAAGATTTGAGCCACAGTTGGCTAAACCCTAGATTTCAGTTCTGCACATATCATTACTTTTTATGTAACCAATCATTAGACCTGGTTTTTGATTTGTGAGTCTATCTAGATTTTTCAATTTCGTGCTTAATGAATGTTTAATTCAATTCTTTTTAGCTTGATCACCTAATTTAGGATTAAACCAGCCTAGTTAATCAGTTAATGGAATTCGTAATTGTTCTAATCAACTGGTAATAAGTAACAAGTATCAGATTGTTTCTGTGTGGGGATTTTACTCTGATATAAACTAAAATTTCATATGTTCATGCTTCGGAGCTTGTTAGAAGTATTAAATATTGCTGGGAATTTCACGCAGATCATAATGCTGCTTTCCGAATTTTATTATGATCTTGTTTAATTAAGGTAGTAAAAGTTAAAATTAACTGATGAGCTTGTTTTGATTAATTAACTAGGAAAAATAGATCTTACTAGAACTTGTTAGTAGTTTTCAGTACTAGCTTAGATGGAATGCTTTTTAAATAACTAGGTTTGTGTTGATTGCATCATTAGGAAAGATGCAGCAGAACTAAATTCGCTTTTTATTTTTGAATTTCATTTACTTTATTTCACCGTAATTTTTAATTTTAGTTATTAATAAAAAAAATCCGCCTTATATATTATGTTATGGGTAGTATGTGCCATGTGAAAAGAGCCATTGACTTTTAGGTTTTGGCCTTGAGGATTCGACCCTGTTTCCCAGTACTATCATTTAGTGCATTCGTGCAGCGATAAACTTTATTTGCTTAAGACGCTCGCAATAGTGTTTTAAAATTTGGCGTCATTAACACTACCACAAAAACAGTCTTTTACGACGCGTAATGCGTGTCGTAAAACGCTCATACGACGCGCAAATGCGTGTCAAGGAAGGCCCTGTCATAACGAGAGACGACACGCTTTTGCGTGTCGTCTATAGACGACGCGCATTTACGACGCGCATTTGTGACACACAATGTGTATCATTAAAACCCCTGTCAAGAAAGGCCATGTCATAAATGAAGATAACACACATTTTTGCGTATCGTAAATTTAATTGTTTAAAAATATACATATTTATATATTTATTAATTTTTAAATTAAATTTGTATTTAATGTCTCATAATAGAAATAAAATACCATATACAAAAAGTACAATCCATTGCATAAAATTTAATGTCATACAATTCTATTTCTTACAATATATAAATTTGCATTCATCTAATCTACTCTGTGTTTCATACAAAAAATCTAATTCATGCGGCTTCTCCCATTTCCTTTATTAGCAGCTTCCATCATTAGTAGTACAATAACAATTGAAATGAAGAATGCAACATTTGTATATCTACAAAAAACTTGAAAAAAACAACAAAGATTTAATGTTTATATATAGCAAGAACATATTGAATGCATAAAATAACAAGAGCTAATAGGAAGTCTTTTTCTATTCCCTTCTCAGTATGTGATGATTGGGGCTGTTGATTGCAACAAATTGTTAACATGTCTCAATGGTTAATTTGAAAGAAAAAATATTTATGAAGAAACTGTCTAGTGATTAATTTTCTACCATAAAGTTCAAAATTACATTTCTACCCTAAAGTTCAAATCTAAAAATAAAATAATTCAAAATTATTTTATTTTGAATCCATAAACTTCATGTCTCAATGGTTCCTTTCCTTATCAACAGGAAACCTTCAAGAAAACATAAAAAGGTAAAAAATATATATAAAAAAATGAGAAAAGGTAATGAATTATGAAGATATTAAAGAAACTCACATTAGCTCCCTTGTAGGTTGTGATGTCACCCCTGAGATGCGATATTTCCTTGTTACATTCCCTCTATGGGTAACTTCAACTTTCACACCTCTAAGAGCTTTCTTTATCTGCTCCATATTAACATAACTAGTTCATAAATATTACTGTTTTACATGATACAGGGTATATTGCAGGAAATAGCAACCTACTTTACTCTTTTTACCAATATAGGCAACATATTTATTTTTACTGTAATAGCTATTTGCCTCTTTATATATCTTGTATGCATTATAAATAATCAAGCAGAGATGATTTAGAAGCTTAATCGGGATATTTATAACTATACCTTTATCCTATCAGCATCAGAAATTTGCTTTTTGTAGACTTGTTTCCCCAAAATTTGAGCTACAAACTCGATGACATGGAGTGGTTCTATGAATGTAGTAGCCAATGTCTCTGAAATCAAAAACCCATAAATAAGAAGTTAATAATAATAATAATAATAATAATAATAATAATAATAATAATAATAATAATAATAAGAATAATGATAATAATAATAATAATAATAATAACAACAAAAAAATGTAAAAATAGCTCATTTAGATAAGAAAATATCATAGTACCATAGTACCGATATTTAGTGACAATAACGAGTATTTTAGTGTAAAAATATCTCATTTAGAACACTATATCTTTCAGCAACTCATGACAGTAAATTTAAGGGGTAATGCTAAGGAAAGGTAAGCTCAGCTCTGTACGCACACCTTCTCCACCAACAATAGATCCCCATGAAAAAGTACCCGCACTCAAATCAATAAAATCTAATCCAAATTTTGAAGGGCTACATATATACCTGGTAATACATATATGTTAGCCAAAAAGGATGAGTAGTCTATAAAATTAAGGAAGTAGCTTTGAACTCCAAATCTCCTATCCAAATATCCAAATGGTCAAGTAATCAAGTGGACAACAGGTCTCAAAATCACAGCAAGTTAAAATAATGGGGGAGTTCTTTCTAACAGCTAAAAGATTTTCTTATTTAAGGAAAGAACGGTGTGTGAATTACAACCTGAACAAATGAATCAGAAAAACTAATGAATCAAAAAAACTAATTAGAAATTAGAATTTATTTTTCTAAATACTTGCGAAGTATATACCTCCACCAAACTCCAAATATTAAAGAAAAAATGTAACTCCTTAGTCCTGAATCAAAACACAAAAATATGAAAATAAATACACGAAGTCTAGAAATCTGGAAATCATAAGTCTAGAAAATAAGAAATTATAAGTTGGGCATAAAAATTGTACCTTGAGTCTTATTATCAACCAATCAGAAATTCAGAAATCCCCTCTTTACTCTTATGACTCTTTAGATTGCAGTCCTAGAAATCAGGAATTGGAGAATCCACAACGAATTCGATATCTAGAAATAAGAAAATAGAGAAATTAGAGAAAATAGAAATCAGATTATGAGGGGTGAGTGATGAGTGAGGTCTGATAAGTTTAGATAGCAGAGACATTAGCAAAGTCATAGAAATAGGGATAGGGAGGTGTATTTAGAAATCTGGAGACGCGAGAGGAGAGTTTAGGAAAATTATTGTTCTTCTTGTATAAGATGAAATTGAATACAGATCAAGCTCAGATTGGTACGTATCTCTTCAAAATCCGCTTCCTCGTCACGACTAAACCCACCGCTATTCCACCAATAGATCCGGCAACAACCACCGACTTAGGCCCCACCGCCTCCTTATAAAGCGTTGTAGTCGCTAATCCAGCCACCGCGCTATTAATAATATCATCTACATCCCTAGCCTTAACCATCCCACACTCCATACCAGTGTACAACAATCCAATTACACACGCACGGTTGCCGATCGTCGGACCTGCATGTCCAGAAGCATTTAAGATCCGATTAACCCTAAGTTTCATGGCGTCTCCAGCCTCAGAAGCCTTCACGTCCTCTACTAAACCCTTCTCGGCGCCAACTACTTCGCCGCTGAGGTAACTGATGTTGGTGTAGTATGTCAGGTTTTCGCTCCATGAACGCCGTTGAGTGATAGATTCCTCTTGAAAGAGGTATTAAGGAGATGTGGGAAGTTTGTACAGGGTTTGTGCGGGGACTCTAAGATCTTCGTAAGGGTTGTATAGCTGACGGTTGTCGTGGTGGTCGTCGCTTTCGTTGTGATTTGATGATCTCGGTTGGTAAGACATGTCGTAGTTAGGGTTTCGATCTTTCAAGAATCTGATTCCAAAGGAGAGAGAGAGAGAGAGAGTGAGAGAGGGAGAGAGAGAGAGAGAGTGAGAGAGGGAGAGAGAGAGAGAGAGAGTGCAGAGGTAGAAGAAGACAAACTTCTTAAAGGATTATTAGGGTTTTTTGGTAGAGGATTTTAGAAGGAGAAGAAGGATATGCATCAGGCGGGGTGTTTTATTTTTTTGGGATTTCATTTCCCCCCATGGCTATTAAAAAATAGAGAACGCGCCTTCCTAAAAAAATATAAAACGACACATGTACACGACACGGTTTTTATGATTGGTGCCCTCCGTGTTTTTTTTTGTTGGACACTAATTTTAGGGCACGCAAAAACGCGTGTCCTCTATCCTTCAAATTTTAGAAAACTGACATTATTTTTTAGGACACACACAACTGCATGTCCTCTATCAGCGCGTGTCATTGTTTGCGCGTCATTAAAGGGTTGTTTTCTAGTAGTGATTCTCGAGGACACGGTGCTGCTAACTGTTTTATGCCAATATCTTTTTGTACAGATAAACCTCTAGTCATCTTCCTTAATCGCAGCTAAACAAGCAAACCAAACTCCAAAAGAAACAAACAGGTTCCTCAAATCCGTCATCTTCCTTACCACCAAAAATCACCACACCATAAGGTAGTCCCCTGTGGAACGAACCAGAAATCACCACCTCATCATTCCCGAAAGCACCCACATCGTCACCTTCTCATAGTCCATATAAAATCTACTGACCAACACCCTCTGAAAAATCGGAAACACTAGGACCTTTAGAACCCGAATCTCTAAAATCAGCCATGAGAGAAAAGCCTCAAACAATGGGATACCCAAGAGGTTACTCAGCATCCTCTCTGCATCACCTTTCTAGAAGCCTAGAACGTTGAGCTGAAATCTGGATTGATACACTTTTTTCCCACGTTACAGGCCTAGAAAATGAAGACCCACATAAATTCCTCAAGGAATTTCATGTGGTTTGTTCTGGAATGAAACCACAAGCCACTAAAGAAGATTAGATAAAATTGAGGGCATTCCTTTTCTCATTTCAAGACTTAGCAAAAGAGTGGTTATATTATCTTTCACGCGGCTCCATCACCACATGGAACAAGCATGCGAAGCTTTTTCTGGAAAAAGTATTTTCCGAAAGTGTGAGTCTCAAACCTTCACAGAGAGATCCTTGCTATCAAACAAGGATAACGAGATGCCTTATAGACATACTCGGAACGTTTCAAAAGTTATTTGTCCGGTCCATACTACATGGAATCAACGATTATCAGGTGTACTAATGCTTCTGTGAGGGACTGACACCAATGGAAAGAAGGTTGATAAATGCTTCTCGTGGTGGATATTTAAGCGACATGACACCAACTGAAATCCAGGAGACGATAGAAAAGCTGGCTATTGAGTCAAAATATCCTGGTAATGAAGAAGAGTTGTATCCTGATCAACCAAGAGGTGTCAAGTAAGTTAGCTCACATCATCTGGAAGCCCAAATTTCTTAACTAACGAAAGCAGTGTTGCTATTGACGAAAGAAATAGGACTTGCAAAAAAACAATGTGGAATTTGCCTGAAGACTGACCATCCCATTGATATGTGTCCACTATTGCAAGAGGACACATCTGTAGCAAAAGCTATTGGAGGCTATTAGCAAAATATTTAGAATAATTTTCAACAATAACAATAATATTGGAATCTACCCGAATTCCAGCAACAACAAAATATTTATCAACCAGGTCTTCAGAAGCCTTCAAATCATCAATATGGCAGCTCAGGCGTGTCATTGGAAGACATAGTAAAAAGTTCGGGCACCAATACTGATGCGTTCTAGAGTGAAAATCAAGCAAGTATAAAAAATCAGGAGTAATAGATGACTCAACTTGCCACTTTTGTAAGTCGACTGGAGTCTCAAAGAAAATTACAGAGGCAAACTGACAACAATCCCAACCACAATGTGAGTGCCACTTCCTTTAGAAATAGGAAGAGTTATGATGGCCCAAGCAAATCTGAACCACAATAGGAGGCTGAAGGAGTAACTCCCAAGCAATCCAAGCCGATTTTGAAGGAGTACAATTCATTCCAACCATTCCCATCGCAACCAAAAATCACTAAGCGCGACCGAGAAGACTAGGAAATCATTGACACCTTGTGTAAGGTGAAGGTAAATATTCCATTACTAGATATTATTAAGCAAATACCTCGTTATGCCAAGCTTTTAAAATACATGTTTGCTTCAAAGAAAAACCTAAAACCAAACGAAACAATAAAAGCTAGCGAAAAGATTTATGTGATTTTGCAAAATGTTTAACCCCCAAAGTGCAAGAATCCAGGAATTTTCTCGATTTCTTGTAAATTGGGAAAACCTACTTTTCCAAGAGCCATGCTAGACTTAGGTGCTTCAGTTGATGTCCTCCGAATTTCTGTTTTTGAAAAAAATAAAGTTGGGATCTTTAAAACAGACCGATTCAGTTGGCTGATCACTCGATAGTACACCCAAAAGGTATATTGGAGGATGTTCTTGTCCAAGTGAATGGACTTATTTTCCCCTCTGATTTTTACATATTGGACATGGGCATTGTGGATATATCATACAAAAACTCAATCATATTAGGTAGGTCATTCATGAAAACTGGAAAAAGAAAAATTGATGTTTTTGCCGGTACACTCTTAATGGAGTTTGATGGGAAAGTGGATAATTTTAAAATAAATGATGTTGAAACGCTAACTGATAAACTTTATTTTAACGTTATGGGTACCAGCAGTCCTTTATCTAAGGATTGTTGTGAGTTTTCTGATGATTTTGTCCAAGAAATGTTCTCACATTTGAATTTCAGTTTTATGCATCAAAGAAGTTGATAGAAAAAGCAGAGGTTGGTGAGGAGGAGGAGATGATTTCTGTTGAGGAAAAATCAGGAAAACTAACGAAAATGAAAAATATTAGGGAAAAAGAAAACGAGGTTGCTAGAAAAAGGAACACCAGAAAAAGAAAGAGATTTAAAATTTTGAAGAAAGACTTAACTGATAAAACCAAAAAAAAAAATGTTTTATTGTGCAAGTTCGAGATCCACTAATTCTGTTATATCTGAAGGGATCTGGAGTGAAAAAGAAAAGAGTTCATCGGAAGAGGAGGACCACATTCACCTGTAAACAGATAAGGTTTGGCACAATTGAGCCAACGACCTTAAAAAAGGGCAGCTTGTCGGGATGCAAGACGACAAGTAGTCGATTTTTTGTTCTTTCAATAAAGAGCAGTTGCAGCTCCAAGCAAGCTTGGGGAGACCAAAGGATGTTCTAAGTTGCTGAAAATCAGATTTTTAGCCAACATCTTCATCAAATAAATCAGAATTTCGGCAACCATATTAGGTACATTCTTTCCTAGCTGCAACCTTTTGTTTTTTTTTTATCGAGCTGTTCATTCCTCTCTAAGCATTGAGGACAATACATCATTTTAAGCTTTGGGAGAAGATTAGTATGCAATTTAGCATTTTTTTTTGTTGAATTTATAAAATTTTATGTTTTTCAGTTAAAATTTCCAAATTTTCAATTTTCCTTTTATGCATTTTATTTTTTGCATTGCATTTGAATAAAAAATATTAGAAAAAGTCCAAAAGTATTTTTATTTTATGTTTTTCATCATTAAAAAAAACCAAAAGATTTTTATTTTTACTTATTTTAGTGTTTTTTTGCATACAAATTGGAAAATGAAAAAAAAAAGTTACATCACATAAGGATGTTTTTTACAATCAATAGCTTTGTAAAGATGAAGTGTGATTAGAACCAAAAATAATAGTCTCATTACAACCAAATATAAGAATTATCTTTTATAATCAGAAATTAATTTAAATGTTTACGCGACATGAACCAAGGTACGAATCAAATAATTTTTACAATGGAAGCGTGAGATAGAAACCGAACAGTGTTTTAAAATTGATTTCCTTAAATGCCTTTAAAACAACCTAGATTGAATAACCATTTTCTTTCCACACAATAGTTATCATTTTTGATGTATTGAAGATACGGTGGGCTACAAAGCGAAATTTGCTCCTAATCAATGTACTTATTAGAAATGGTACATCAAGCAACTTGAAGAAATCTGAAATTTAAAGTCAATTTCAAGTCATGTTCAAGCTTAAATCAATAACCAAGCAAGTTAAATCTGAAGAGCTGATCAAGACAAAAAAGATGTGTAGTAAAGTGAGTTAGGTCCCTCGATAGTGGAGTCATAGAGGTAAGGTTGGATTTTTTGTGCATAATGGAGCTTACCACGTTTACTGGACGAGTTTAGGAAAAAGGAGGGTTTGGTCAACATAAGTTTTTATAAATATTTTTTCATGAAATTATCTTTAAAAATACATTGTTGTCACAAATTTAATTCAGCGTAAAAAATATTAACTCAAGGTTGGTTTGGCTTACTAAATTTGAGATCTGAAACTGCAATAAAGGTATTGAAACTGTTTTCTAAGTGCATGATTTCATTGGAACTTCCTCGGTGTAAATTCTAATCTTGTGAAACAAAAGAGAGAAATTTTTAGTTTCCTTAATTTTATTTGATTTTATTCTATGTTCCATTTTAGGTAAGCTACATCTTTCCATTTTCTTTTTAATGTCTAATCTTTTCATCACTTAAGGGCAAGTAAGGATCAAGCATGTGGAGATTTCATAGATACCATTTTATGCATCTTTTAGGGTAG